CTTCTAACATCGGTAGACTACAGAATTTTCTGCAAAATTAGACGTTTATCGTATGAAGCTAAAAAAGTGCACTTTACGACGATTTCTGTTATGGTTTAAGCACTACGGTGTGCACTCAGCTTTTGATATTGATATAGCGATCTATATATTCGAACTTCTATACCTTTTCGTCTATAAACAGTATAATGATCCTAAAAAGAAGCGCAGACTTTAAATATGCGAGCCTATAAATATGAACGATTCTAACGTAAGATAAGTTTAATCTTGGGAAGAGCCCTCGGTTTTAGCCAGACTATCTCTCGCGTAAGTCGCCGTTTAATCCGGTATATATCGCAAAGTCCTTATTCTTTCGTTAGACGGTAGGAGAAGGGAGGATATCGCAGGAAAGCCCTTAGCCGAGATTTTTCGCTCCGGGCTGCCATCACCCCCGCGTCGTTAGCGCCATTATTATACCCGCGAATAACCGCGTATTCGGGATTTTTACTTCGACTCACCAATAACCGTTCCAACGCGCAGTAACATTTTCCTCCGGCTTCCAAAGGAAATAAATCAACCGGCCATTCTTCCCGGAGCGAAATCGTCGTCCTGAGCTATCGGCGGCTCGCGGAAGAGTACCTCACTCGAGAGGGAACCCGGTTCGAGTGGTTCTTATAGAAATGTTTAGTCTGCGGCGACTAAAAAGCGTTGCGCGGTAATCTTGAAAGTTAGAGCTTGAAGAATGTTTCAGAATCCCGGGAAACGAGGGAACAGTATTTCTCTTGGATGAGAAAATACTTCTGATCATTCTTCTACAGTTTCTAGAGGAGGAATCAATCCTTATCAGTTACAATCATCCATCACCATCGAATTGTAAGATACAAAAGATGTTGACCTCGGGAAATTCGATGATCATTTCTTTAAACACAAGGTTCTTCAATTCGCCCATGCAGGAACGTGAGAGCTAAAATTAACTGGAATTAGAGTATCGGAATCTTACAGAGATAAGAAAATCTGAACTCGACGCGTGTTTACGCAGTTTGAGAAGTTTCCCGGCCGAGAAAAAGCAACTGTTCCATTTCCCGACACTTCCGACGCCGAGCACGGAAGATGCACGGACAATTTCCCAGTCGCTCGAAATTCTTAGCCGTTCTCGCGAATCCATAATTCAAGGGAAAATAAGTGGGACGAGAAGAGGAACGAGAAATGGTCAGCGAGGGAATTGCCGCTGCTAACGGAATCCAGGTAGTCGCAGCCGACGGTATCTCTCGCCACCGGTCGCAAACGTTGACGGGGTTTACGGTTTCTAATGGCGCGGCGATGTTTACGCGGTATCCGGAATAATCAACGAGCCTCTAACGAAATCCAGCCAATCTGCATCTCTAACCATTGCCAGACATTAAACAGACAGAATTATCGCGTTTGTACTCTCAGTTGTTGCATCTTCAGTTTATCAATAATTATTTCGAAGAACCATCGGACGATGGGATAATTCGTTGTCTGTCAAGAATCTCAATTACCTGATGAATTCTTCAACGATTTCATTAAAATTCCCTGATCTGAGTAAATTCTCAAAGAGAGAGAGAGAGAGAGAGAGAGAGAGAGAGAGACTGATAATCTAATAGTTCGGCTGGGATTTAATCGGTGATTTACGTAGGACGATAAAGCAGCGTGGACGCGCGGCATGCGGCGACGACCGATGATTTACCGACGTTTTCCCGGGGAAAGTTAATGCTTGCCGCGGCTTATATACACACCCCGGTCCGGACGTACTTTACGCGTTTGCACGCCACCGTTGATTACCGATCGCGGCCCTGGGCCCGATTTAATATCGGCTCTAATCCGCGATAACGGACACCTAGTAGTAGACACGAGCGCCGCGGGAGCTCGAGATCCCGTTTAATAACCGCGAGCTGCTCGTCTTATCGCGATGAAAAATGAACGATCTCTTCCTCGGAGTCCTGGTTACGGCATGATTGAACGATACACCGAGCAGGCAAACTAAAACGATTTTTACCAAGCCTAACGTCCGACCAAACGACCATTTGCTGGTTTACGCTTGTTGCTTTACGGCGGTTTTAATTGCGACAGCTTAATGAGATGGGAAGAAAAAGGAAAACGGGTAATGATACGTCCAGAGGAATAAATCTACCAACGTACAAAGAGAAACGTGACCGTCCCAGCGTAGGTGAATTAATTTCACGGAAGACGTATATTAATTTACCCGAACGAACAGATTTATAAGGGGATTTATGCATTTTTTTTTTTTTCTTTTTACATCGGTTGCAGTTGAATGTAATAGGTAAAATCCGAATATTGGCGAAATTATCAGTGGCCTACATAGGGGAGGCGCATCGGTTATTGCGATAGGCAAACCGGACACAGACTGGCAGGAAATCCGGGGCTATCGACGAAAGAGAAGAGACACAATCGGTCCGGGAGATAATTCGTACCGAGGGTCCTCTCTACTGTCGATATCCAGGAGGAGGACGTCGACGTCTGGCATCGATTTGCTATATCTCCAGCTCGAAACGATACGTTCGGAACGAAACCGATTCCGATCTGTAATTAACCGTGCTTGGAACGATACAAGCCCGATTCCTTTTATAAAACGCTTTACGTTTGCATAAAAAAAAGAATCTGACGCACCAATAATCGATCTTCGTCACCGACCTTGCCCAATATTGTTGCAAACGTTACATTTATTTTTATACCGGTTGAATCGAAGGACCGTAACTACCCTTTTCTTTTAACTTTCCAACCGAGCCGGCTTGTAAGTTCAACCCGGCGCTGCGCAAACTTGTGCGTAGGGGCTGCACTTTTTTCCCTTCGCTCGTCCTTTTCCCAGGTTTTCCAACCCCCGGTAGAAACAAAGCGGATTCCCAGGCGTAATGAAGAGGCTCGGTCAACGGCGCAAGAACGTTATCATCGAGGACTCCTTCCTGGTTTCCCACCCTTCGCGTTCTTGCACCCTTAACCCTTTGACGGTCTACCCGGGGATAAGAGCGTCGATCGAACGAGTATCGTTCGTTGTTTACGATTTTTTTTTACATTTCACGGTTCGGTTCTATTGAATTTCTAGAGGGTCGGACTGTAGTATCTCGGTTTAATTCGAGCCCCTCTCTGAATTTATCGCGGAAGAAATTAGTTCCCGGCGAAGAACGATTGCGACAGTCCTGCGGGGCAAGGAGACGGTTGCTAGGGCCAAACAAAGAGGTAGATCGTCTTAATAAATGCGGCGCGACGGTATCGTCGTTCTAATAAACTCGAAACAAATTATGGGAATTATATTCACCAGCTGCTTTTTAATTACTATCATCTTCCTCTGTTCACTCCTCGGAGCTTTCATTCTTCCGCTCGCCCGTTTCTCACGATACGATTCTTTCGCGACGATTTCTTTCCCTCTTTAAATGAACTTTATTCTCTGATGTTGAAAAAGTAATTTCGTAAGGAACAGTATAATTCTTCGGGCAAGAGAACTGCCGCTGCTACGAGCGTTGGAACGGGAAAAGTGATCCGCACTTCTTTGCAAATGAAACGTGAGAATTAGCGAAATAAGAAGGGCGGCGTCCTCGTTGCGAAAGTGATTTAACGGGAAATTACGAATTACATATTAAGCATCGCGTGGCTGTAAATAACGGGGATTAAAACGATTGGCCGCTTTGTCGGCTTTCCACCCTCGCCGTCGCGAGACTCGCGTTTAATCGAAACGAAACGGAAGATAAATCTGGCCGGATATTCTCCAATTACGCGTAATGATGTAAAATCGCCGGGGCGATAATGGGTTCCCGGGTTCCACGACGCCACCGGGACACGTGTTGTCTATTAATAGGCCCGGCCGTTTTTATCCAGAGGGAAAAAGCGAAAGGGGAAAGGCGGAGGACGATGAAAAAGAAGAGCCAGACCGATGGCGCCTGTCAGGGGTAAATACGTTTTTTAACGGGCCGCTAAAGACAATAACGGAAACAGAGTTGGAGAAACGCTAGCTCCTGATTCGGAGCAAACCGATTTCTCTTACCGGCTTGTCCTTAACTTTTTGTCATTCGAGGATCGATTTGCTCGACGATTAAACCTAACAAGCCCGCGCGTAAACGGAATTAAAAAGAGCGGTCATAAAAGCTAAAGACGCTCGGATACCGATAGAAATAGTTTGATTGATTTTCCTGAACTTGTACCGAGAAAAATCAGCGACAGGAACTATAATAAAACGGTGGACGGGGATTAATCGAGCGCTCGCCGAGATTTATCGATGCGTCAGGAGAAATGAGTATCCGCGCAGAGAATTTTTAAAGGTTTGTCGCCGCAACTTTATCCGAAAGTTTCGCGACGCGTCAACCCTCGAGAATATCGGTCCGAGTCGGTTTAATTGGAATTCTTCCATCGTCCCACCGCGATCGAGGAAAGAAACTTCCTCTACGTGTCTTCGCTAATAGTTGTCTTTCTTATTTCGACGTTAAGACCTCGCCCGATTAGCGGGATCCCGTTTCCTCGAAAATATCACGGACAGAGAAGGACATCGCGTGACGTACCCGTTTTTCCCGCGGTGCCCGATTCAATTTGCCGGATAAAGGAGCCGCGGAATTTATCCGGCCTTAAAATCCCTTCCAATATGAATCCGACGACCGGTTTCTCCTCTGCCATCTGTCCGACAGTTTCGACCGATCTCTCGTCCACCGGAAGCTTAACTCCGCGCGACCGTCTTCTCAAATTTATTTTCTGTCGGTCCGAGTCGGGTTATGCCCGTTCAAAACGGAGATTATGGGACCCGCGTCCGAAAAGGAATATTCCAGCTTCTCCGGGAATAGTTGATAAAGCGAACTTTCTGTTAAAGATGCACATAACTCGCTAGATGGGAGCAGTATCAAGAATTAACCAACGTCGTCGATCCACTCTTCTCAAAGATTAAAGCAGCAAGTTTAAAGGTAGAACGTATCGTCTCTCCCGGTTTATGCAACGCGGCAACAAATTTTTTACAGTGCGGCCTAACCTCGTTTGAGGGGAGGTGATAAGGGATCGAGACTCACCGGGATGGCGACGCAGTCTTCGATCTCGGTGAGGGGTTCCTCCGAGCAAAAGGTGCCGTCGGTTAGGAAGGGTGGCCGAGGGGGTGGCGGCAACCGGAACTCCGGGGGTGGCCCGGGGCACTCGGGGCACTCCGTGCTCTCCAGCGTCTCCAGCTCCTCCATCCTCCACCTCAGTGTGCTGAAAACCCCGTGGAAAAATCAACGATCGATTAATCTTATTGACAGAACTATTAACCGCTGCGCGCGGCCGGAACAACCTTTATCTATCTCCTCCCCACCCCGACGTAATTTATTCTTTCCGCTTGCCAGCCATTCGTTTCTCGTGTTTAAATTTATCAGAACTTATAAAAAGATAGCGAGCTTTCGTCAATTTATTTTTCACTGGTTCGTTGCAATAATTTTAAAGAAAGAAAAGGATTACGCGAATAGGTCGGAAACGATAACCGAAGGTAAGAGGATTTTGTCGACTAATTAAGAGATACGCGTCTAGAACCAGTTTTAATGACCAGCAGGGGGACCTGACCGATGTAAACGGAGGTAAACGCGCACTTTTTTCTACGTCACGCGCACATAAAGAGAGACCAGTTGTTAGAAGGGGTATCTCGTTAGCATCGGAAGAAGTACCTTCGGGTCAAGTCGTTCCACTGGTTGGCCGGAACGGCCTCCACCTAGTCGGTATGCTAATACCGAGGACTTAATTACGGTTTCATAATGAATCAGTCACGCTGACTTCGTCTGGCCTGTCCTATGCCATTGTATTTCTTTGATTAATTGTTTCGCCTCTTCCGATAGAAAATATCATCCGATAGATGGAAAATTCTCATATTAAAAAAAGGTTAAATTCCAATGTTAAAGATCGTCGATGATTAAATTGTAATACTCGGTCTGGACGAAGCGAATTGTTATCTTCGATAGAAGTCGCTGAAAGAAATCGGTGATGAATCGAGTATCGAGCGACTGTCGCACGTAGTGGGTCAGATCGTGTCTGAAAAAGAGCATTCTACAGGGTATAGAGTACAGAGGAAGAGGAGCACATCTACGCTCTCAGTTTAATAAATGCATCCTTCCTTCCGTTCTTTCCTTTCTTGGCTCGGCCGATATTTCGGCCCGGGAAACCCCACGGCGTTTCCACCGCCCCCCGACCACCCTTCTGTCGCTCTCTCATTCGCATGCAGAGCGCAACGCGGACGAACCAGCCGAGCGAACACCCGCGAAGCGCTCATCTCGTTTCTACCGTGCACGCCAAATCTCCAGTTCGCGTGATTTTTATTTAATTCTACCCCCGATACAATCCTCTCCCCCCTCCCCGTTCCTCGATCCCTTTCTTTCCGGTGTACGTTCCCCGACGTCGAAAACCAACGGAGTTTCGTCGGGGAAAATACGATTTCTCGCGTCGCACTCGCGATAATTCACCGGTATTCATGTTGCGTCCCAACGAAATCTAGTTGGCATGGGAATCGGGACAATCTCATTTTTCAATTTGCGTCTAATCTGGACGATCCGTCAAAATTTTTACCTCGGATATTCTTGGCGACGGAACGATACGCCGTCCATTGTCTTACGCAGCCAGAAGACGGAGTTAGAATTTATTCGAGGGTTAATTGGGAAGCGCGTCGCGCGATTTCGCGCGATAAATCTCGCCTCGGCCCCGCGTCTGGGATTTCTCTCTCGAAATAGGCTGGGACAACGCGGCTGAACTTTCCCGGGTCTGAAAATTCGCGAATTAGAAGTGATGCCAACGGGAAAATGGAGCTAATGAAACTGTACGCCACCGAAAAAAGCGTGTTCGCCCGTTTCGGCGCGTGTTTCCGCTAATAAATACGAATTAGGTATCGCAGCAGCAGCGGCGGCGGCGGCGGCGTGACGGTTAATTTTGATTGGCGGAGGACCGCGATTTGGAAGTACGACGAATAAATAATGGCTGTACATAGCCGAGAGGAATTATGCGCTCGTAATTATCGCGTTAATCAACTGTCACTATAAACCACTGCGTCTGGGCGATAAGAGGATTAATACGGGCGAAAAAATTACCAAGCGGAAACGATTATTCTGAAACATTCGCGAGAAGATGACGTCGGGAAAAATGATTTAACTAACCGGTCATCCGATGATAGATACTTTCCCAATAATTACCGCGCTTCATCTGCGTTTATTGTAGAAAATTTTACAAACGTTCCTATTACTTTTTCGACGATTCGGCTATATTTGGGACGCGTGGAACCGTGTCCTCGCGCGCGGGTAATTTCATTATGAAAATCCTGCGAGCCTACGCGTCGGAGGATATATATTTCTTTCGCGCGCGAAGCGACAGGCCCTGGGCCGGAAAAAGAATGGTGACCGCGATACGAAACGGCGCAGCGTCCCACTGGGACGGGGAGTTAGATTTCGCGAACCGCGTCGCGCGAAATTTCATAAACGTCGCCGACGACCCCTGCTACCCGAAAATTCACCACGTACGCCATTTTTCCCGGAACGAATGTTGCTGCTACCCACCTAGCCGGTATTTATGGCCGCGGCTTTCATTTAATGCACTAGCCCGCGCCCTGAGAAACGAGCCACCGAATCATTTTATTAAACGCCTTCGAAGCTTTTTCCAAATGTATCTCGAAATGAAATTACGAGTCATCGTAAATTATTCCAAGGATTCGAATCATTAAACGAACGACCAAGTAGAAAATCATGTATTTCAATACAGTTGCATTTAGAGTGTGTAAATATTTTATGTCTCCTAAAGACTATTGAATATCGCGATCGATTTTCGAGCAGACGCACGTAGCGTCTGGTTCCGGGGTTTAATCCCACGAGGAACTCTTAACGTTCGAGTTCCGACGTAAAGTAATCAGATTAAGCCCGCGAACCAACCGACTAAACGTCGCGGAAATTGCGTTAATCCACTCTTCGTCGGCCGTTGACGGAATGTTCTTGGATAATCGGGGCCAAAAATAAAAGGAGCGGATGAATTCGATCGTCCATCGGGTATTCAAAGCCCTCGGAGCGAGTTTCCTGGGTGAGAAGCGGATGGAAAGTAAGTAGACGAGATTAATTTGGAACGTCTCGAGATTCTGACAAGCGATTCGACGCTGAGAAACTTCGGGCATTAATTATGCCACGCGGTATTTCGTTTCGTCACTGCATCCATCGTTAGAAGGGAGAGAGGGTGTAGGGGCGAGATAAACTTTGAAACATTCACGTTGGAACGTTGATTCGACGCTTCAAAGTTCATTGGGAGTTGCGGAAAAAAGGAAACGGTGGGCCTTCGAGCGTAACCAGCGACGCGTTTCCCGTTCCGTTTATGGTTGTTCCAAGCCGACAATTACGCTGCACAGGAATCCAATACTTTTCGAACCGGGAGAAACGAGGAAAGTCAGAGAGAACAACGTTAATCTCGTTCGACGTTCTCCACCGAAACAACGACTTGCACAGAGTCTCTCTCCGTTTCTCTCTCTCTCTATCCCTGGTGGTAATTGCGCAAATACGCTCGTTAACGACAACGGTAAAAGTGAAGAAAAAAAAGGGAAACTCTTTTGCTTTTACGTTTCGAACGACGGGAGAATAATTTCCCTCTGAACCACTAGAGAAACGTTTAATTGCAAGCAATAAAACGATTCGAATTGATTGAACCGTATCGAGGCATAATATAACAAAGCGAATGAAAATCATATTGTTTCTTCTGCAAGTACGACGGTACTTAGTATAGTAAATTTCCGAATTTCTATTTACAATAAGAATTTCTACTCGCTCATTCTTTTTCCCATCGGTTTATATCTAATCTCAGACATTTATCGTATGTTGAAACATTTGAACGTATTTTGAACAATTTGCCCAACGTTGGTCAAAGGATTGTCGATTGCGAGCGCGTGTCACGCACATCTACCCAAGAATATTTCGGTGCGGCCAAGCCGGTGAATCCTCCGTCGGATCCCGGCCCCGTGAAATCGCTCGAGGAGCCTCGCGGTACGCTCCAATTCCGGGCAGTATCGTTCCGTCCCAACGATCCCTTTCTTTGTTCACGACGCGTACCTAAACCCGAGTGCTAATTAATCCACGGGAGCGGAGAGACAGGAAACGATAACCCAATCATCAGCGCGCGGCTTGGATTGCGAAATGTATCATCTCTCCCGATGCCGTGAATATTAACTAGCAAGGAATCTACTAGAATACAGACGAACGCGCGTAGCGAGACGTCGGATAATTTTATAAACCTCTGCTCTTTTCGACCTCCCTGTTTTCTGTCCGACGATAAACGAGTGGAAATCAGGTTTCAGTATTTCAGCTACGTTTACACGGCGCGGCTCAGCGAAAACCGTTCAATCGGGTACAACAGGTACTCCGATCGACACGATTTCCATTTATAGGGCAATAAATATTGCACCATAAAACGAATTCTACGGAAACGTAAATGTTTGTGCCGCATAAACGATTGCCTCGCGACCGGGCGATTGTCCTTTCGCGAGGTGCGATAAAGTCTTCGATCGGTAAATAACAATTTTACTCTGGATTAACGATGCATGCTACGCTTCGTTTCTATTCGTTATACAAGATCGCTCAAGGTGCAAGTTCGGTCTACTGCTATGATCGATCATCGCTAATTTCCAACCATCAGGGTGACGTATATTCCGATATTTCACCTTTGGGTGTGCGTTGCCTCCACTGCTTGCAATATAAATATTTCATTTGATATGCAGGTATTGAGAAAAGCAACAGCCGAGAATTCAGACACACCTGTTTGCGAACGCACCTTTTCGCGAGCGGAGATGGCACCGTTTCAGGCGGTGTGGTCTTGACTGTGATCACCGATCTTCGCATAAACGGGTTGCGAGAGAGGGGAAGGGAGATTAACATAGAGATGAGGTCGCCTTGAGTCCCTTTCCGCGTGAGTTATGCCCATGCACCGGCTCTTTCTTTATTCCTCATTGCGTCATAAACCGTTGCGGCTTTTATTCGTATATTGTTGTACAAGCCCATTTTCTTCGTTCCGGACATAGTTACGAACTTGAACGATAAATTACGTTTCCGATCGGTGACGATAAATCGCAGACGTAAATTGGTCCACCATTTATTCCGCATTTCCAAGTGTTTTCAACTGGGTATTAGTAAAAACCGAGTCGAGCACGATTTTTATGGTAACGAGGAATAATTTCGCTCGAATTTTCGCTCTCTCATTACGCATTATGCATGCGAGGATCGTTTCCGGGCGCGTATCTCCGCGAGAAAATTGCCGGGCAGCGGGCGCAAAAGGGACGTTATTTATGGCGCGGACACGCGAAAGGGTAGCTGCGAAGGGCTCGAAACGAAAGGGGCGCGGCTACACCCGATTATTCCCGCGACGCAACAAACCCTTTCCAATGGCCAACGATCGGCTCGCTTTTAATTAGGGGACACCGACGAATTTGAATAATGCCAGCGGCGAACGCGACACCTGCTCGCGATTTCTATCCGAACTCGTGCCACTCCGATTTATTTATTTAACAGCCAGGCCACTTTTATGTCCCTACGTACAACGATAATACGTTTCGACGGCGTATTATTTTTCTTTCTTTTTCTTTTTTAATTCGACGGAACGAAGCCGTGTTCGACGGTAGCCAGAGTCTTAACGAATAAATGATGGCAACAATTTCCCCAGGACAAAGGAGAAAGTTCTCCTGGGGACCGCCAAGAATGGTGTCCGAGAGATATGAAATTATTTATAAGACCGGACCAATAAGCTATCAGAAAGCTATTAAAAGTTTTCGCGATCCAGAAATAACCTCTGCGGCCGATATTCCCCCGAGGGTGATATCCCGTGCAACTGTTCCCCTCCGATGCGTGCTGCCTCACGCACTTTTTCCCTTTGTCTAAGCCTCCCCCCCTTCTCCGCCAGACTAACCTTCGCCAAAGGATTTCCCCGGAAAATCGATACTCCTTCGACGAGTTCGAAGTCTCTCCAATCAAGGAGAAGGTATGTCGAACTCATCCCGACAGTTTTTCATTCGATTCCTTGCGAAGGGCTCTCATCCTTGAACTTGACAATTTTTCACGTTCGGTCTCCAACGTTAAAAGGAAGAAATCTTTCCAATATTAGATGATCGTTAAGAGCGTTCTATCTAATGATATATCAAGAAATACGAGTGGTCTCGGTCTTAACTTATATTCAATTTCTGAATATTACAAAAATACAATCAGGCGTGAATAACCGCGATAAGACGTCGACGTAGAAGACAAGGCGACACGGCGCCTCGAGCCCGCGTAGGCGCGCGAGTCACAATAAAGCCTGGACGCAAATAGCGGACCGGACGAAAAGAAGCCTGTAAATTCGTATGGCTTAACGATCCGTAAATCTGCAGGCATCGGGAAAATACGCGGGCCCGCCCACGCGCTATAATTTTCCCCGCGTAACGATCACCCGCTCGCGAGAGCGACGCGCGTCGTAAATAAAACCGATGCTTGTCACCCGGGTTGCGTTTTAATCCCGACGATTTGCTCGGTTGTCGCTGATCTTTACAGATCCCCTCGCCGGCCACCGAGGCCTTCTTCCTCCGAGCGCTCGCGGCAAGAAGTTACAACTCGTCAAACAAATCGAATCATACTCCGTTTGCAATTACCCATTGTTCTCCGTTTCTTCGACGCTCGGTTTACTCGCGTCACCGTTACGAGTCGATTATTGCCCACTGTGCCACGGTGCTCTACACCCTCTAGGATATCGTTTAGCCGGCTAAACGAATTTAGGGCTGGAGAATCGTGGCTATTTCGCGATAACAGCTTCCACTCCGACATAAGTTAACTCAATTTTCCCAATATCCAAGTTTAGCGAACCGAGGCCACTTCCACGGAACTTAAACAGTTTTCCAACCCCTCGCCACGTAACGTTGCAACCCCCGTCTATCGAGGTCTGTTGCTATTCAGAAAAATCCTAATTAAAATTCTTTGTAATTTATTATACGATCCGTTACACGATTATTGTCGCGTGATTTACTATAATTGGCGTGTAGATCGTCTGTTCGTACGGAATATTATCCGGCCTTCTCGATAGACGAACAGGTTAAAATTGTCCCGAGACTTGTGAATGCGTATTCTCCACGACGTAACCGAGGCTCGTAACTTTCTCGGCACCCTCTTCCTGGCTCGTGGAACGTCGTTACATCGTCCTTGGGGAGAACTTTCGCACGCACGTGTCTCGCGTTTCTCACCGGTGCTTTATTAAACCGAGACTCGAGTTTAAGAATCCACCCCCGCGAGTCAAGCTGTTCTGAGAGGGTGGCGAGCAACCTTCACGCGAGTTTACGATCCACGTTTAGTAACTGGAATCTCAATTTCAACGGGCTTCAACTCACGGACAATTAAGGTCGAAACGACGCTTCGTAGGAGGCGAATCTAGTACGAAGAAGGTCGACAGATAAAATAATCATAATTTCAATTTGACCCATTTTTGGGCTAACGAACTGGTAATTGCGTTAATATTTCCAGTCGAACTCTGAATCGATGCGGGCAATATATTTGCAACGCAAACAGCGTGACACACGCTGAAACAATGGCAATTAACGTTATCGCAGTCTGGGTAGACAGTTGAAACGTCGTTAAGGAACAGTCGATAGCTATTATCGCCTCAAATATTTGACCGTTTCCTTAACTCCGCCGGTTAGAAGCGTGGGAGTCATCGGGAAATCGCGTGCGAGGCCCGTCGAGTGCCTCCATCTGCCGCTGCCGTTCCGTAGAACCGTTCACTGCCAAGGGCGTTCGCGTTCGCGTTTTCGAGCGGGATATCCCCTCTCGTGAAATATTAATAACGAGCGCCGGGATTTATTCAACGCGTTTGACGCTCGATTATAACGCGGCTCTCCTTTCAGACAAGTTTTCCGTGGAAATGAACGCGCCCGAGCGACAGCAGGATTTATAGAATTGAGAAACGTTTTACAAAAAGCGCGTTTCAATTTTCATCCTCGAAATTTGATTCCCGATCACCTATTGATTTCCATCGTCGTTTAAACTTTGTAGCAGAATGATTGAAACGCTCGGACTCGTTGGCAATGAAATAACGTGATATCTCGTACAGAAAATTGGACGTTACGCAGCGAAATGAATGCGAATTAAGATGACTCCGAGGCGGGGGGAAGTTGACGTGGAAAAATGAAAAGACGAGAAACTGCTGGAGAATGTCAAAGGGAAGAAAAAAGGCGACGTTTGCATGGAGGGACGTGGCGAGTGAAAATAAACCTTCTCCCAGTCTAGAACAGAAAACGAACTTCTCCCGGCGCGGTCTGCAGAGTTTTCACCGTGAACTCTCGCCCCCATAAGTTTCTAATAACTGTCAACGACAGAGACCCGGAGTTCGCGGGAGCCTCGAGATTATTTCTAATTTCGTTCGCCGTTCTAACTGGTTTAAATCGAACCGCGACGCGAGAACCGTTTCGAGGACGGAAGCACCGCGATTCCTGTAATTTCGCAAATGGAACGCGTTTCCTGCCCGGCTCTCTCTTAATTACCACGATGAAAATTCTCCATTACGGAGCGTGTAATCGAGAGTAAACACGAGTGGCGCGGGGAGCGGCGCCGCGATTCAATGGAAAATTAACCAACAGGTGAACGAGCTGGCCGATTTAATTCGTCGCTCCAGGAGAAGAGTTGAAAAAAGGAAACACGGAACAGCGGATGGACCGAACGTGTTAATCTCGCCCGACAGGCGCATTGTCGATCGATTCTCCTCTTTTCGATACGATGCTTCTATTTGTTTGCTTCGTTGCATTAAGTTCCCGGCGCCTCCCACGTCGCATCTCGTACAGAGCTATCGCGTCGCGTTAACCGCGAGAAACGTCGGCTATCCAGTGGGAACGCGTCGCTCGAGCCATGAATGGAAATGTCCTTCGAAATTTCGCTGCTCGTTACGTAGCGATTTTTGCGAGCCGAGCAGATTTTCCGACGCTGAATGCGAAACCGAACGGGTCATAACGGTTTTACGACGGGGACGATACAACAGTCGAATAATCTCGCGGAACTTTTCGAGAGATCCACGTGCTGACGCGAAATACGCGTATGCTCTCTCGTAATTTGCACTCGCGTTTCGTCCTCCCGTTCGGCAGCTCGTATTCGGTTAAAACTTTAAAATCGTTTTCCGGTTAATAGAACTTAGGAGAAAATCTGTCTGATCCGATTTCGCAAGGCGAAAGTGATCGGAAACTTTTCACATTTCTGGTCGACGAAAAGACGTGCCTACCTTAAGAATTCGGGCGACACCTTGCCGATTTGCTAGCAGCGCATTTCCTTAAAAAAGTGCCTCCTCCCTCGCGCACCACTTTTTATCACAGCAAACACAATAAGAAAATCTCCCCCGAAAGCTGTTATCACTTGGTTTCTCTCACGTATCACTGACCAGCTTCTATCACTCTCGAGATCACAATCGGACGAACGTCGCTGTTCGTCCTTCTCGCTGCGAATCTCCACTTGTGTGGATCCAGGGAGATCGAGCGATCGCGAGCCATACGCTGTCAATCCATAGCACTGCCACTGTCGATCATTTCTCTGTCACACTCGGCGTCGAATCCGATCCGTTGCGTGAAACTTCAGGAATCGCGAATCGACGCACTCGTTCCCTTATCACTAAGAGAGACACTCGGTTTCGAAATCCGCTACGGGGAAGCTCGAGCTTGATCGATTTCCACGGCCTCCGGTTCTCCTGTGTCAGCTGGCTCGCGCTTCCTTCCAGGAACATGTGTTCATCGAAGATGGTAATCGCACACGCGTGAACGCGAAACCGGAACAGCAGCGGTCTTGTCTACGCTCGGTTCGTAACGACGCTCACTCGACGGCGTCGCGCGACACACTGTTGCTCGCCGCTTTCACCGATCGTTTCGGAGCAGAGGCAGAAGGCTTCTATGCCCCCACCGTCCCCAGGTCTCTTCCACCACGTTGCCAACGAACCCCTACCGAAGCCCGGCGTCCCCACTGGCGTCGCCAACCACCACTCCGCTTATCCTTTCTTCGTGTTTCGGAACTTTTCATGGGGGTGCGAGCGAGACCGCGCGGGGTGCGAGCGAGACGCAGACACGGGAAGAACCGGTGTCGTCCTTTTGGATTTTAGAGCGTGAACACGACGGTGACTCGGTGAAAAAAAGAAGAGAAGCGAGGGTGCGGAAGGGAGATAGGACGAGATCCCAGGTTCGCACAGGAGAGGATTCTAACAAGGCGCCCTCGGCTGCAACGTGGTGCCTTCCAAGATTTCCGTAACGCGTCCGAAGGGTTGACTCATCTCCCCGATGGTGGCTGCAACCAGACAAAGCGAAAAATGACCTCCGATTTTATAAACGTCCGACGCTTTATCCATTGTGTAACGAGCGCAATCATAGAAATTGGAACGGGGCATCCGCTTCCTTATCGTTACGCTGGAATCGCGTGCGTAATTCGAACGGAACTCGCGCGTGGGATACGTGTCACGAGCGCAGCCGTGCGTTCTTCCGATGACAGCTGGAATCTTCGTAGCGTACAGCGCGGCTTGCGCACGCTGACCGGACCGGCTCGCGTTGCAATTTCTGCCCAACGACTGTTCAATTATCTCGCTGATAGTGGCCTGCAACTTTGCTTAAACAACTGGCAAACTGTACTGTAATTTACACCCGAGAAGAACGACTAAGGCAAACCTTTATCCGGGCCAGTGGATTCCAACGTTCGATCGTAGAACCGTGGCCTGTCCGAGTCGCTTTGACTCCCACGCAGCAACGCGTGTGTATCGCGAAAACGCAACCGGAATTACTGGCTACGTAGCGACGCACTCGATGGAATTAATTAAACTCCTAACCACCTCTTACCCGCCGCCCCTTCCCCTCGGCCGAGCATCCTGGGTGTATTTACCCGATGCGCTTTGAAGATCGGGTTGCCCCGTGAGAGAAGGTCCCGGTCTCGTTTGTTCCCTCCCTCGCTCCCCTTTCTCCGACGCGATGGTATTTCGAGACTACCGGCGGATATCCGCAAATACCGCGAACGAGTATTTAGAAATGCTTTTCGTTCCCGGGGATCCTCGCGAATGGGAACGCATGGCGCCTGCCGCGTTGTCGGGAACTTCAAACGGGAACAGGTCCGCGTCGGAATAGTCCATTGTGGTTATTGTATTGCCCCGCGATATTGTGCCCCGTCATCGGCTAAATGGCCGCTCGGTCCACCCCCGCGTCAACCGCAGACGAAACAGAGACGGGAAAAAAATTGATAGCCCTTTCGCTCGGACGTAGCCACGGGGCGAAACCGTGCCAGCGTACACGTTCACTATTAATGAAACCACGAATCGCTGGAGAATCGATCGGAAACATTTGTCGATTTCGACTTGAATAAGCTGCTACTCTTTCGACTAGTACCGTTACTAACGATCGTGAGAGATCGTTCGATGGACGGCGTCCTCTAGGACAGTTTTTCTGGAAGAGCTCCAAGTCGGTGGCTTGTTTGCCGAACGCAAGGTGATGCAGCGAATTTTCCGAGTGTTTGCTAAACACCCTTCCGGGAGGAGCCGTGACACGACAAGTGGGTCCTCGTCTCGCCCGCGCAGACCGGAAAGGGGTTAATGCATTCTGTGAGAAGCCGCGGTTCCATAAATCGCCGTTTCTCGATTTAAATCGCTCTCCCGTTATTTATTGATTTATTTTCCCTAAAAAAAAAAAAAAAAATGCCATGCCGATTCGATAGACGCGGCGCGATTGATGAATCGACGACGTGTAAATAAAACCGATGAGCGATGAATTATTTCGAGTCGGACAATTTTTCGAGACGTCGAGGAGAAACCACGGTTAAGAGTTTAAACGCGAGCAAATAAGGCCGGATCCCATGGAAGATTGCGCAGTCTGTTTGCGAGGGATGATGCATCGTTCGACAAACACCGAATAATCTGCGCCAGGTTTTCGGGCGTCACAAGTCTGTTTAATCTTCCTCAAAAACACGCGAGATAGCCGGTGTATCTCTGACTCGGCAAATAGACCTGTGGAACTTGTCGTATCTCGGGGGACAAGAACGCGGCGATAACCGGTGAAGTTCGATGCTCTTCGACAGAAAAAGCCGAAGCCTTAGAACAAAGCCCCGAGGGACACTTACAAGTGCTAGCTATCAAAAACGCTGATAAACATTCCATTAGACGGTCTTAAACCATAGTAAATCATACAGCTGTGACCCTACGATGAATCACGTAAAGAGTCATGTAACTAGAGTTTCAGTTGAATTGCAATTGAATTCTAACTCCTCAAACCTTTATATCGAAACTCGTTGAAAAATTTCAAGGACTCTCGACAGCTAGAGACTTTTGAATCCACTTTCGAACGAGATTCTCCTGTGGGTCGAAATCTGGGACACGGAGTAATTATCCAAAACCCTTTGACTTTCCGATTTCTTCACGTGGAATTTATCGATCGACACGCATCACGCTGGACCGCGGTGTCCCCGGCTTTTAAATAAACATGAGGCTCTCGAATGACACGGAGTTTCGTAGCAGATCGTGTAAAGAAGATAACGATAGCGATAAGATTAAACAGGACCGATAAGTAGAGCCTCGTGTCGACGTAGAAACGATTTCCTCTGGCCGATGTTCGATCTTCAAAGACGACGACCGACCGCGATCGAAACTCTGTCGGGGAGAGGCGAGCCGAGGGCATTAAAATATCGTCACGGTAAACGGTTTAACTCGCGCACACGCTCTCCCCGATGCGACAATAAAATTGATATTAATGGACCCAGCCGGCACGCTTTTGTTAATTCATCTCTTCAGACCCACCGCTGCCAGGCGTATTTAACTTCAAATTTTGTATATCGAATGTACGGAAAGCGTCATTAATCGCACGGACGTTAACGAATGAAAACGTTGGAGGAAGTATAAGGATGATCGCGGTTAAAAGACTCGTTTGGGTCGACACCTGTACTACGAGCGGCGCTAGAAGAGCTTGCTGACAGGTTAATAAAGGGGTCGTCGCGATTTTTCTTCGTCCTAAGCATTGCCCGGTCCGGGCAAGAAGCCGACGGTCCGTGTAACCGATGCACCACCGGCATCCGGCGACCTTCCAGGTCTTCTTCTACCTCTCCCGTGGTTACACGAGCGCACGCGTGTACCTACGTATGGGTGCCGAGGGCTCCAACTGATTTATGATCCAAAAAGAAATTACGAACGTAGGTGGACGATGATTTATCGCCCGGGAATAAATTGCGTATGTACCTATATACCTCGGTTGGCGGGGGGTTCGTCACGTGAACGTGCCCCAACGATAAACGAGCCGCCTCTACCTGTACTTACAGTCGTCCTCCGACAATCGTCAATCCAGAGAGTTTGATCCGCGCTTACCAATTGCTTTTAATGGTTGACTATTTTAATAAAGAAATAATCACCGAGCAATTTGGAAACGCTGGAAGTCGCACTTTTCTGCGGGATTGAAATTCGTTTTTCCGCGATTAATTCGAACAGGAAAAGTCAGCCGGGGGGAAACGTTCCCCATAGTTAATCATGGCGACGCAAAGTGGCCGGTTAATACTTCGGAATGGAACGCGATGCGATGCGGGTTTTCGGTGCTCGCGAAATTATTTCTACGTTCCGCGGTCCGCATACTCGAAACGCGTTGCCGCGAATTTAAACCCCGAATCCGGTGCGGCACGTGCTCCCGGATTACGGGCGCCGCACCATGCCGCGGGAAAAACGAAGATACCCGGATATACGGGTATATGTACATACGTATATATGTACGTACCGTACGTACGCCTCCGCGACATAATTCATTCCGTCGCGCGTTATATGAAGTAGCTCTCGTGATGAATTTCGAAACGCCCTGCCGCGAGATATATCAGGAAAAATGCGATGCTCCACTCCACTCTTACTCGTTTCCACCATCTCCGCTCTAGCGAGAAAAATAAAATAGGGTCTAATTCGAATTTCTGCGAATTCCAGTGACTAAGAGTGAACTCAACGCGGCACCAATTTCCTCTTTATGCAAAAGATTTTGTGTCCAGTCTCGCGCAGGGAGGAAATACAATCGAGTTTCGGTGGCACCGTGTCGGGAAATGGAGACTTCACTTGTGTGTACCTCGAGATCGTTGCCCGTCTCATTAGCTTATCTCAACATGTAAATGCTAGCCGATGTGAGTGCAACCTACTAGAAAAAAGAACCGACCGACCTTTTTTTTTTTTAACGCTCGAGAGTCTAACGCCAACGGCACAGGGAGACCGGTTCTCCGACGCGATTTCAACGTTGTGAAACTCGCATCTCGTTGTCCAGTTTCTCCAAGAGAAGTTAACTGTTCTCATGATAAACTTTAGAAAATCGATCCTAATATTTGTTACAATCGTAAAACGCAATCGTTGCGCGTGCGTGTGTGCGGTGTGAAGTCCGGTGTGGCACTTTATGACCGCGAATCGACTCGCGATCGAGCTAGTGATTAGGAGACACTCCTTCGTAACACGATACTTTTAATGTAACTGTACCGTTTATGAGTTTAATCCGATTTTTAACATACTTATAATTAGTTTACAATTTCCTGTTGAACGTTTCAAACAAATTCAATAGCAAGATTATAGAATCATACCGTCGGTATAGTTGGAAAGTAATCATAATTAGGAATTAAACCCGTGATTCTCTGAACCCATGGAAGCCACGTTCGGGTTACGAGACTGTTAACGACGGAAATTGCGGCAATTATCACCAAGTTTTTGGCGAATGGAAAGAGGAGGACTTCTCGTCAGGCTCGCTTCACGCTGTCGCCAATTAGCCCCCTGCAGCTTTAGGGTGACCGTAAATTCATAAATCCATCAGGCTCCGAGAAGCAGCCCAGCGAGAGAGCTTTCGGAACGCAATGATTACCGCAGCGGGGTGCCGGACATGCGGAGAACAATGGTTTTCGGATTTCGAGACAGAATCGCGACGTTCGCCACGCTTGCCAGAGTGCCATGCATTTATGCATGTCGCCTTCTGAGAAGTCGAAACGAGACGTTCCTTCATTGATGTCCGACCGTGCTCATCGTGAAAAAAAAAATCTCCAGGAAACCTCCTTAGCCCTTCGGACGTGAATTTTCACGGTGTCTCTGCGGGAGGAAATTGGAAAGTGGTAACGATTAACGAAGGGTACGTTTAATTAAAGACACGGTTCGCGAAAATATTCTCCGGCGAGCACTCCGTGGAAGGTAATTCGTGGTCCCGGAACTGAAACGGAAGAGTTTCACGTCGGGCGATGAAACCCGGAAAGTTTCCCAGCGGAAGTTAAAGAGTTTCGCGGGTTGGAGATCGCTCCGCATCGCGGATTAACCGAAAGTA